ATACTGTACTTCTTAAAAAAAAAAAAAAAAAAAAAATTGAGCCATCTCGTGATATTCTTTTAGGAATTAACTACTCTTTTTATGATTAAGGTTTAGTCTAAATCATCATACAAGTAAGCATACACTTTCAACATTGCAGAAAATGAGTGAATTTTGGCTGATCTCAGCCCCTGGTGAGCCAAATGCAAGCCAGACATTTGAGCGTCTGTGCCAGGCAACAACAAATCTGTCACAAAACAACAAGTTCAACATTCCAGACCTAAAGGTTGGAACACTCGATGTCCTTGTTGGCCTCTCAGACGATCTTGGAAAACTGGACAACTATGTCGAAAGGTACAGTTGTAAAAAATTGTTGCTATTTATGTGGCAGTTGCTAATTGTTACACAATTATTAACACAAATTTCTAATTATGAAAATTCGCTGCCTATTTAAATTGATTTATCTATATGGTAATCACACCACTTTTTTTTTGCTTTGACAGTATGGCACATAAGATTGCGCATTATCTTGGTGAAGTACTTGAAAACCAGAAAGATAAACTTGCTGAAAATCTTACAGCCAATGGCGGTAAAGAATTTTTAAATCAAATTCTGTATCTATTGGATCTTAATAATGATTTTTAATCTATGATTTGTCTATAATGTATCATTTTCCAGTGGATGAAAAAGAATCAATATCTGTGTGTATTTTTTACATGTATGATTTTAATATTTTCTGTCTTTCTCTTGTCATCAACCTTTGCTGTTATTTCTATATATGCTTTGATGTAATTCTACTATTACTGTTCTGTATCAATCTTTGTAATATCTATTTACATTCATTCATTCATTCATTTATTCATTCATTCATTCATTCATTTATTACTCATTCACTCATTCATTCATTCACTTATTGATTGATTGATTCATTCATTCATTCAATCAATGTAAATGTTTATCCACCTATATCTCTCTAATTATCGTCAGTATCATAATTTTTAAATAATTTTTTAGTTGAGTTGCCATCGTACATCCAGCGGTTCCAGTGGGATATGGCCAAGTACCCAATCAAACAACCACTAAAGAACATTACTGAAATTATAAGCAAGGTAACTATTAGTACTGTAGGATAATTGTGAACTGTTACCATTTGTAATAGGGAAAACAGAGACCATCAGCTGAACTGGTGGACTTAACGACGGTGTATGCACTGAAACATGCATGTGTCCCTCATTTTATTGTATTCAAAATCTGATGATAAGAACTCGGGTACTGTTAATGAGATATAGATTTTTGGATACTGTATTTAAAAACTGGGGGAAAAGGGGCATTACCACCGTTGTTTGACATTTTTCCCCAGTTTTTAAATATTTACAAATCTGTATCTCATTAACCATTACTGAGTTTTTGTTGTACACGCTTTTTTTGTCTTAGAAAAATCAGTTGTACAACATATCAAAATATTTCTTCCTCCAGAGCTTTAGCTTTAAACCACATTGTCTTTTGAAAGTGACCATTAAGCCATATGTGTATCCATTGCAACACAGATTTCTAGATTTACATTAATTGTTTTTCTCTCTTACAGCAAGTGAGTGCAATAGATGCTGATTTAAAGACTAAGTCAAGCGCATACAACAGTCTGAAGGGTAACTTGCAGTCCTTAGAGAGAAAATCAGTGTGAGTTAATGGCATTTTGTTTTATCACAGTCTGTTCCTTGTGCAAAAGTTCTTAGTGCATTAAAGCAAAGTTTACTTAGCTTCAAAATGGTAATCTGAAGATTGCTGTTTGGATTTTGTTATCTGCCACAATACTATTGTATAACACAGACAATAATCAGAATAATAAAATTATTATTATTAATATTTACAGAGGGAGTCTATTAACCAGAAATCTAGGAGATCTTGTGAAGAAAGAGGACTTCATTACAAATTCAGAATATCTGACAACAATACTAGTTGTAGTTCAAAAGTAAGTTTAAATTATCATTGCATTTAGGCATGGAGCTGGAGGGTGGTGTTCGATATGGTAATAACCATTACTATACCTCATAAATATCAATTAGACAATAACATTTCATTGGTCAATTCCACCTTGTAAGGTAGCTTCCCCACGTGTGCTAAATTTACATATACGCAGGAAAAAAGTACTACCCAAAATCGACTACCGCACCCTTGCGTACGTGGACAGTATGCAAACTGTGTAACTTTACTCCCACAGATCAAAATTGCTATTAGATGGAGAGTTGTTTAATATTTATGAGGTATAGTAGAACAAATACAACATGAATTATTTCGGCAAAGTAGTGAATTCTATTTCCCTCATTGTTAGATGTTTGGAACTACCTTCCTCCGCTTCGTGTCGGGAGCCTTCCCAATCATCCAACACCGTGGGAAGTAGAATTTACTACTTTACCTCAAACCAAGCTGTATTTATATACAACTCTGTATCTGAATTTAATATGCAATATTACTTTATGGTGCAAAAAGAACACCAGCATTGGCAGATGATTTATATATATTAGAACAAATAAATAATTTTATATATTTTCATCTAGTGCTGCTGTCAACGATTGGAATTCTAAATATGAAGGCCTAGCTGATATGGTAGTTCCAAGGTCATCCAAGTGAGTTATCAATCAATTAGATAATCATTGCATCTGTGAATTATTTAATCAGTGACTCTATCAAATAATCAATCATTTAATTAACCAATAAATCATTTATCTGTGCTCCCCTTTATTTTTAAAATGTGTACTTGTACTATTTTGAATGATTTATGGTTGATATTATAGGTGAGAGTTAAATCTTCCTAACACAAGCAACATGTATTTTCTTGGGAACTAGTGTTAGTAGATGCTACACTCAAGTCTGAGGCAGAAGCTCCTGTTCCATTGGTGGTATCTGTGTTTACAGTATGCACTGTAAAAAGGGTGCTGCCCCGACATCAGACACCAAGAAAATTAAAATATATAACAGAATAATAAAGCAACAAAATATTAAATTGTTTTGATCTGTATGACATTGGAACATTTTTTATTCTTTTAAATGATCAATACTATGTTTTGATTTTTTTACAGTTTAGTTTTCTCAAATTTTATCACATACAATATGTCTTTAAAGCCTAGTTTCCATAAAATCGCTACAGTGTTTTCAGTGCAAAAGTCCCTGACGCAATCAGGAGGGCTCCATAATTCGACCGACCATTTAGCATCACCGAAAAACCGTCAGCAATTGTGTGTAGCGATTGTATGGAAACCAAGCTTTATCAAGAGTCTGTTTTTAATATTTTTGTTTCAGTAAAATATACGAAGATAATGAACACTCGCTATTCACAGTAACGCTGTTCAAGAAAGTTGTCGAGGAGTACAAACTACATGCCAGAGAAAACAGGTACGTTGATTGATGATAGAGGTAAAGGTAGGAGAGGGGCATTCCACAGTATTAGTGAAATTTTAAATTATATTTTGACATTAAATTTGACCATTCCATTAAGTACAAACTTTAAATTATATTTTTCTCATGTCTGAAAACATCTCCACTCCCTAAGCATCATAGAGAACTTCATACTGGAAGTGGCGAGTGATGAATGAGAATAATAATATGTAATTACAGTAACTACTTGAGCTGCAAATACAGTGTTACACAAAATATTAACTTTTCTGAGCTTATAGAATACAGTAGTTGCATATCATATACTAGTGGAAAATATTTATACAAAGGTTAGATTCCTGATGATGACATAATTAATGTTGAAATATTGAATCTCGACACGGTGGTGTGGCGATACTTGGAGTATTTATTATAAATCAAAATCAAATCAAATCATCAAAACATTTATTTTCTTCTTTCTCAATTTTTAATCTTATCTGAGATTAATCAGTGGACCTTTCGGTTTAAGGTTAGGTTAATGCCAGAAAAAAATTCCTGTGGTCTGCAAGGCCTGTAGAAATTTTTTGAATTTATACAAAGGTTAGATTCCTGATGATGACATAATTAATGTTGAAATATTGAATCCCGACACGGTGGTGTGGCGATACTTGGAGTATTTATTATAAATCAAAATCAAATCAAATCATCAAAACATTTATTTTCTTCTTTCTCAATTTTTAATCTTATCTGAGATTAATCAGTGGACCTTTCGGTTTAGGGTTAGATTAATGCAAGAAAAAAATTCCTGGGGTCTGCAAGGCCCATAGAAATTTTTTGAATGCATTAATCTAATTTAAGTATAAATAATTTCCTCTAGAGTATAGATATGCACTATTCTAATTGCTGTATAACATTATGGTTGTATATAATTCATTCAACAAACTTATTATTAATCATTATATTGTGTTGTAGATTCACAGTGAGAGACTTTACATACAATGAGGCTGAATTAACAGCGGGGAAAAATGAACTCAATAAATTAGCAGCTGACAAGAAAAGACAGTTTGTATGTTAAGCTATTTATAATTATTACTATTAGGCCTAAAAAAGTAAATTGTTTGTTTGTCCTTTAATGCTGAAAATTATATAGGAGGGGCAGGCGCAAACATAGTAAATCGCAATGCTTGCAACTAAGCCTGTCTCAATATTGTTTATCAAAGGGTATTCATCAGACTGAATAAAAATAACCCATAATCGATAGTTTGCAATGAATTTAGGCCTAGAATGGCGATGCCTTACATCAGACACCAAATTTAGACAACTTTTATGTGCAAAATGGAGAAAAATAAAGATCACTTTTTAAAATTTGTGAACACAAGATAAAAAAAGAAGTTTTTTCAAAAATGCCGCTCCTATTATTCCGTGAGCTAGGGGAGCGCTGGAGGGCAAACAAACAATTTTTTTAGGCCTTATCATCACCATTATTTCCATTACCACCATCATCATGATCATCATAATCATTGTCATTATTTTCTTATATTTGTATGTAGCACTCTGCTATTGCCCTTTAAAAACCTGGATAAATTTTGGGAAAGGCTCTAGACATATAAAATACAATGAAAATAGTAATTAAAATCTTATTTCTGTAATGTTTTATTTCTTTGTTTCAACAGGGACCCTTAGTTCGCTGGTTAAAAATCAACTTTAGTGAGGTGTTTATGGCGTGGATTCATGTAAAGGCATTAAGGGTATTCGTAGAGTCAGTCCTAAGGTAAGAGCAATACATTTATTCTACAACATCCTCGTTTCCCCCTTTTTCCTTACAATTACATTTTTAAATTAATATGAAATTTTACAAAAAACTCTAGTTTCTGTAGATTATATATATTTTTTTTGTTACTGAGATTAATTATTACAAGAATGTTATTGGAAAAATATAACACCAAACAAAAATAACAAGTAAAATAAATCCTACATCTACCTTAAAAATAAAGCAAGAACAGAAGCAGCATATACTGGGAAACATTAATTTATTTTGCAAAGTTTTTGGTTTTATTTGCTATTAAACTTTTAAAGCCAGGCTCCGGAGAAAAATTATCATTTTTTACATACATACTACATACTTCTAAGACCCAAAAACGGTGTTGATGACAAAATTGGGAACGTTAATGAGGTACAGATATTTTAATACTTAAAACTGGTGGAGGGGTGGGGAGGGGGAGGGGCATAACCACCCTTTTTCGTCCAGTTTTTAAATATTTAAAAATTCATTTCATTAACCCTACTCAATTATTTTGTCAAACACCCTTTCCCTTTTTGTGTCTTAGAAAAATAAGTTGTACAACATATTGTTAAAATAATTTTTTTTCTCTAGAGCCTGGCTTTTAATGGCTGTATATTTCTTAGCAAGTTTATAATCATTTAATAATTATTATTTATATCCATGTAAACAAAGGTATGGACTTCCAGTCAACTTTCAAGGAATGCTGGTTCAACCATACAAAAAGGCACAAAGAAAATTGAGAGAGGTGCTTCAACAGAAATACAGTCACCTTGACGGAAGCAGTGTAGGAATGTCAGAGGTATGGACAGTATTCTTGGGAGTGGGATGGGGTATGGGGTTAAATTTATCTGGGTCAAAAAAAAAACACCAAAGAGGCTAAAATGTAGAGGAGTACAAAAAAAGTGATCTCAATCAGTCTGTGTTGGTCTCTCAGAACACTACTTCTGAACATGATTTACAATTAACAATAAAGTAAAAACAATCATCATCATCATCACTACTATTATTATTATTATTAGTCAGTGGCTATTGTTACACCTGTCTTAAATGAATTCCTAATTCTGATAGGATGTATTGTTTGTACTGTATTAGGAAAATAATATCCAATCAGAATTTGGAATTCATTTAAGACAGGTGTAACAATAGCCACTGCTTTATATTTCTTTTTTGTCGTTTGAATTGAGCCTTCGGCAAATGCACACACCATTTTAAAAGTATTGTAACATGGGAGTAAGAGCGGTTGGTGCAGCCGTTGCATTTCAGTCTCACAACCTCGAGGTTGGGTGTTCGAACCTTCGCTGTGCATTTCACTTGTGTTGTTAGTTAAGGCACTTTACCTATGTTTGTCTCTATGCACCAAAGTGTATATATGGGTACCCGGTGGTTCACTACTGGGGAGGAAAAGGCAGCGTGGAAAGGAACGGGCCACCCTACCACACAATACCAAGACTTAGTATGTTCAATAATGAATACAGGAATACCTTTACCTTATAACACATGATTTCTTTCTTTCACAGACTGTTCTAGATATCCCAGGCTTAGCTATAGGCCAACAGCAATACTACCCCTACGTATATTATCCAATTCAAGTCAACTTCTGGGATAGGACGTGAAGTGATCATCAACATAGATATGCAATAATAGGTTACTTTCAAATTGGGGAAGGATGGATTAATATTAAGAATTAGTATTTGTATGGACCAGGGTGGTGCATATTATAGTATGTAATAGAGTTGTTAATAGATACATGGAATAAAATGTACTGGAGCCCCATTCAATATATATTTGTGAAGTATACATTTATATGTGTTGTACAGTAATTTAGAATATGGCTTTACATGCTGTTTGTACAGTATTCATTTTTTGTATTTGCCATACAATTACATACTTAATATTTATACCCTAAAAAAATTTGACTGAACCCCAGTAAGCCACCATAAAGTACAATCTAGAATAGTGACCCACTACTTTAACAATGTCTAGTGGGTTTACTAATCAATGCCAAAATTGTATACTCAAGGATAGAACTACAAATTTATATATAAGCAACATTTTTGTGTTTATAGCTGTTTTAATTTGTCTTCTAAAATGAAATAATAGTTATTTGTGTGAAATGTCAACACATGAATGCCTAATTTAAAAAATGGAATAAAAAAAGTTATATTCAAATTAGTATGAGAGTGCCATTTCGGGCTATCTAGATGTTCAATAACCATATAATGTTGTACCTCAATCCCAAATTAGATGGTACCTATACCCTCAATTTGTAATAGTCCATCCCTGTGCCCCACCTATTTCAAATTGATGGGTCCGCCATTGTGTATGTATGTAACACAGTTCTCTATTATAACTACCTAAAAAAGGAAAAGTAACCCAGGGTTTTTCGATCATTAAGTTTTACAGTATATGCCACACAATATAAAATACAATGCCAGGAAACCATGACATACACGAGTGCCATTAGAGAATTGACAATATGTGACTGGCTCTGGCCAAACCCTACATTTCATTTAATTTGTTTTTGCCTTGTTCATGTACAAAATATAATAAAATTTACGAAAAGGTAATCCATGTTTCCCCAAGAGCCGGCAGGATTGCCAAAAAGTAAAATAAATTACTGAGCTATGGGGGGAAACATGGACTAGCAAGATAATAAGAAATATCAAAATTTTAAAAATAATACAAGATACACATTTACATCTCAAAATTTAAGTTAACATAAAAATTCATAAGCATATGTTGGTAAAAGTCAAAATTGAGTTTTCAGTATTTTTAATATTTTATGTATTAAAATTTTTAAAAATTTTTATTTAATAAGAATTGGTTGAGAATTAGCAAAGTTATAAATACTTAATTTATTGGATATAAGCCTATAGGTTAAATATTGTAATATTTAAAATGATTTTAATATAACTTTCAGTTACATTTAGCGGTTGATGTTTAAAAGGAAACCTGAAGTTGGAGATGATGATTCTCGATTGTCTTTGCTACTACCGCATAATTTGAAATGCTGTCTAAATGTATGGTTTTGCGTGAGCCAGACACATATGTATATGTATATTATAAATTGTGGTTCATGAAAAAGATATGTGCGTGTATATTTTGTGTACCCAATACATGCAAGTAACTTACTTACCTATGTTTGACATGTTTATGAGAAGAGCCTACATGTTATTCTCAAAAATGATAGAATTTACAACTCCCAAGTTAATGATCATTAGACTACAAAAAAGGAAATATCCTGCCGCATTATTTGAAAAATTTCTTTGTTAGATACCGAGTTTACAGTTTGGATGAAAATTTTATGAATATTTTTATGGTGCATAGAGTCTGTATGAGGACTTACCAAGTTTAAAATTAATTTTGGAATTTAATATATGGTAATCATTTTATTTTATATTGTATAATTAATATATTATATAGTAGAAATTTTACTGTTATTTGTGGAATCTCTAAGCCAGGCATGTATTAACAGATTTTGTTTGATGAGTTAGAGAATTTATAAGACTATTAAAATTTTGATGGTGATATACGGTATTGTTGGGTGTATATACTGCAAAAAAAAGAACAAGAAAAAAACACAAATTTATTATCTGTATGTTTAATTGGGTATGGTTTTAGCTATTAATAGGTGATCATAATCAAATACAAAAATAATTTGTAAAATCATGGTTTAAGCAGTTACTGTATATGAAGTGGCATATTGTGTTGTATTTTCACCTCAATTGTACTCAGCTCAGATTAGGAATAGAACTGTTACCTTATAACATTCCATACACATTTGGTGGGAGGAAATGTAGTAGTATTATTAATGTTTGCATTTCTAGTCTCTTGTTCTTGCACTATTGCTATTGATCCGGAACTTATGCTCAACAAATGATATGGTTACTAATAAAATTGTATGTTGCTCAACAAATGATATGGTTACTAATAAAATTGTATGTTGATATCGATGTCTTCTCGTCTTATCTTGTTTATGTTTACGAAGGTACATCCTGCAAAGGACCTTACAATCCATAACCTCCCTGCTCTGTACAGTACTGGGTTCAGTCCATGTCTTGAGACAATTGTGTACACTGGGCCTACGGTTTATAGTTCATATTCGAGAAGACTTGTACAACCAGAATCATAGGTCGGCGTGCCACTCGAACCAGCACTGATATTATGGCTGTAAGCACCCCTGCTTTAACATCTTTCAGCAAGGTTCAAGGTGGTGGACCATTGTACCCAGATAAGCAACACCCAATTCCGCCCCACCATGTTTGTGGCTGAGGGGAATAAAGTGTAGGTTATGCGTAATCTGTACGCCCCTTTAGAACAGCTGTAATGCTATAACTAAATCTGAATTTCTAATTTCATATTAACACCATCTTTGGTCAGGTTATTACTAGTACAGTATCATCGACTAAAGTTGTATTAGATACAATTGGAAACCACTTGTGTTATCACTGCCTAGAAAAGCAATCTTGCCGTCCTTTTCTGTCCTCGCACTCTTTCCAGCATTCACGCTACTGAAGAGACTACTCAGGCAATACTTAACATTCTTGTGTAGCGAACCCACTGTCTGCCAATAATGACGAATATCTATATTTACAAAGATCACTATTAAATTTTTTATCTCGTACTCGCATTTTATTTATTTATTATTAAAATTTTATTTTTATCTTCTCTGCCTAGATGATTTTTGAAAAAAAAAATTGAAATTTTTTTAAAAAGTTTTCTTTTCTTCTGCTCTCTACGGCAATTTAAAACATGATATAAAAAAGGCCTGGGCTTGCGCATCCAACTTTTTTATTCCGCATCAATTATGCTGTTCAACATCAGCATCACATAAATTCATCACACAAACATTTCTTCACATACCGCATATAGTCGTGTACAAGGCGACACCGCTTGCAAGATCATCCCCGAGTTTGAGAAGATTTTTAACAATTTCTGTATGTTGGGTGTATTCAGATGACCCTCTTCCCTGATTCATCGTTGAAATTCCTCCTTTATTCTGCTTTTGTGGTCGTGATACTGCATTTAGATGGTGAAAGATGGAGCCAAATGCAAGGCTTCAGTTTTTAAATGTCCATCAAAATCTTATTTCCCCCGTATTTACAATTGCGTTCATTCTCGCTGACATTTAGTAGCTTCATTGCCGTAGTAAATTTGTATGTCGTATGTATAAGACGACCCCTGTATATGGTATCTTGTTCCATTAGTCACACTATGGAGCCGGTCTCCCATTTATAAAAATGTTATAAATGTATGTTCAAATGCAAGATCTATAATCGGAACTGGATTTTAACTTCAGCAAAAATCGGAAAAGTGATCAAGGAAATCTAAAAATATTTCATTTTAAAAATTCATACATACAGTATAGTACAATACATAACAAGCTGTATTAACATCTTTGATGCCAGATTTAGATTTATTGCTCAACAAGCATAAAAAAGAAACACATATTTTTTTTTTGAGTACTATTAACACACATAACATTCATTTTAATATATATACAAATCAAGTTTTATTTTTATTAGGTAGAGGATGGGCATCATTGCTAAATATTTCCATCCAATATTATCAACCAATCAACAACCTCCTGTATTGGATTTACATTTGCATGTGCTTTTACTACAGGAGTGAATCCGATGATGGGGGTGGGGGAATAAAGTATGAAAAAGACAAAGTAAAAAGAATGGCATGTAAAGCATTCATACTTCTAAAAGAGCTGTAATTAAAATTGACAACACCAAAGTCCACAATGTGCCTGACTTTGATGGCCCCAACCCATATATTTCTCTGGATCAGCTACTGTATAGGCACTTAAATAATATACAGTCTGCCCTCCAATTCGAGACCACATTTGGAGATCTGAAAATTTGGGGTGGTCTTGGATTTTGGTTGCCAAATAAAGCTTTAATGTTAAGGGGTTAAAGATTGTTATTTGGTTCTTTGAAAAAGTGGTCTGGAATTTAGAGGGATCTCGAATTGAAATCTGCAAAAATTAAAGTTTAATCTTTATTTTCTCCTTTAGATGTTTTTTGCAAACTATTTGCTAAATAAGGAAAATGAATTTTATTTCTATTTTTTTCCCCGCTCTCCTCTGACGATCTTAAAAAAAAAAATATGTTCTCTAAACAAGGAATAGAAAATCTTACTTACTTACTTACTTAAAGAAAAAAGTTGTATTTTTAATGTGTCCAAATTCTGCCTATTTACTAGAATATCATATTTCAGTACCTTCATTCCTGTATACCAGGGGATCTCAACTGGGAGCCTGCGGGCCTGCAAGTGCGTGACATTCGGCCCACGAGAACAAGCCGAAAAATTTTTTTTGTTATGCTTGGGCCTAGATTTCAAACCACAACTGAACTAAAACTGGACTTTATACAACTGCCACACGCTTCAAAGGCTAATTTCAGTAACTAAGCAGGTAAGATCATGATGTAACCAGGCAGATGTAAAAATAATTTTTACATCTGCCTGATGTAACAATGTAAGATGACATTGTGTGATAAAATAACATTTTGACTTTTGCATTACCAAACACAAGGGTAACTTTCTTAGGTCAAGATGCCTTGTATAAGCGTGTAGTGACTTATTAAAAAAAAAAAGTCCTAATTTGGGAGGGGACACCCCACCTCCCTTCCAAACAATCCCCCAGCTCACGCGTACGGAGGTCGGATGGCGCTATGCGCCAAAGTACACCTCTTGCCCTGGCCCTTCAAAGTTATTCAATGAACAATTTTTGCACCTATTGTGATATAGTTGAGAACCCCTGCTGTATACTAACACATTAACAATGCTACCATGCTGGTTCCATGCATCATAAGTACATGTATTGTAAAATGTATAAAAAAGGTAATTAGAATATAATAATACATATCTCTCTCCAATTAAAGACCCAAATTAACCAAATTCTTTTATATTCCTTATCATTCTAAATTAGAGACCAAAGCTGCTAAACACCACGGAAACCTCAGTCCCAAAAGTGATCTTTAATTAGAGGGAGACGTGTAGTTGGAAATGAAAACTTGAAAATATTCAATTATTATATTCATTCAACTACGATGGCTAGTATTTGCTAGATCCCAAATTCCAGAATAACTTTCTTCTCTTGAAAATAATTACTTTGCTTCTTTTCTGTTTTCAAAATTCCATCTGTAGTCAACACATCTTGTATTAACATCCTCCTCAAGTTTGATGATTCTCTGGAAAAAAAAAATTTAAGAAACCACATCGGTTAAGTACGGAAGCTTAAAGTGACTTTCCGAGTTTCCATGTTCACTTGGAAACCTGGAACAAACACTTAAATTTTCCAAGATAATTTATCTCAGAAAGATGGAATTTCAAGATAATTTATCCCGAAAAGGAGAATTTCCGAGATAGGTTAACGAAATTGGTCCCCCTCCTGCCTAGTGGAAGAATCCTTGGGGTAGGGGCAGTGGCGCACAGCATCAGTTGATCCACAGAGTTTACCAGTGTAATACCCAGGTTAGCCGCTGTAACCTGATATAGTACACATGGTGTTGTACTTTGTTGTGGGTACTGAATAAACCGGCTAACTGAACCTGAGAATATTGTTTTTGTTATTCCATTTCTGCTGTCCTGTGTTATACTACTGTGGTGAGTATTATTGCACAAGTTTATGGTTGTGTTTGTGAGCATGTGAGGCGTATAAACAATCAGTGGAGTACATCTACTGCCGAACCTGAGCTATCCCAAAAGAAGATCGTTACATTGGTGTCAGAAGTGGGATCGTTATATGAGTCCACACCACCCCTATTCTATAATGGAATAGTCTGCCCCTCAACCCCTATTCAGGGAATGGAATAACCCTAGGGTAGGACTAGTTTGGAGTTTAGCGGGAGAAGGACGTTTATTGAGGAGCCGAAGCTATGGAAGAAGAATAGTACATGTAGTGATGTGACTACGTCACGATGTTGATCATATCATGTGACTAGGGCGGCCAGCGTGATTAGCTGGAAGATATGCTAAGTAAAGACACACATAAAATGGACACTTGTTGTAGGGTCGTTATTTGGTATGATGTGTCAATTGAATTGGAGTATCGGATGATTTGTTGCAATCATCAATAAACAATATTAAACTGGCGACGAGGTAAAATACCTGTAGAACCAGGGATCCGTGATTTTACAGACCAAAGTGGTGAGTGAAATCAGTAATTATGGCGTCAAAGTTTGACGTTCCTCCGATCGCATTTTTCGATCACGAGGCACCGACGGGCTGGGAAGCGTGGTTGGAACGCTTTGAGAATTATGCTACGGCGGCGAACGTTAGCAATGATGTGAGAAAACGTGCATTGCTCCTACATTTCATAGGCCCTGTACATTTTCTAGCTTGCCTAATAATGGAACAACGTATGCTCAAGCAGTTGCGGCTTTGGAAGCATATTTTAAACCAACTGTGCATGTCGAATATGAAAAAGCAGTGTTCCGAAAAATGCAACAACATAGAGGAGAGAAAATTGATGCATACAACATCAGGTTGAGGAGACAGGCGTCGAAATGTAGTTTCACTGACATGGATGCTGAGTTAAAGAGTCATATTATACAAACCACCAATGACTCCAAGTTAAGAAAAGCAGCTCTTCGAGACAACACTATGATGTTAGATCAGCTTCTGATAGCAGGAAGGACCAATGAATTAACAAGATTGCGTACGTCTGAGATGGAAAACAGCGCACAGCAACAGTCAGAGGAGGTGAAATTCGTGAGACGTAATCACAGTCGTCATAAAAAGCAGAGACCACAGCCGATGCACAACAGGACTTCTCATCAGTTCCACCAC